AACTTTAAATGTTTGTCATATGCAGAAACAATGCTCATGGGCACCTGAGTTGAACGACCATGTGAAGCGAACCATCAAAGTCAAGTTCGCAGATCGGCTGAAGGACATATTTCATGCAATCACACACGAGATGAACGGTAAGAAGCCAAAATGGCTGATCGAGGAAGTCCATAAGGATATGATGGACATTGTTGCCAATGATGATACGTACAAGAAGAGGTCTGAACAAAACAAGAAGAACAGAAGAGGCGGATTGATGGACAATGTGGTTGAACTAAGCCACTACCAGGGTTCAATTTCATCTGTACAGCATGCAAAAAGGATGGTTAGTTTTGTTTTTAGGCAAGTGAAAAAGATAACAATTGTGTTTTATATTGAAATGACAAGCTTAATTTGTTTTGGTGCATGTACATTCAAAGGCGGCGAAAAACAAAGGCCAGTTACCAACTGCACATTTTCATGAAGACACACTTCAAGGAGGTCCCTAGGAAAGGAATGGTTCCTGCAAATGCCAAAGTCAAAAACATTGCGGTAACAACTTTAATATAATTTAGTATTTAAACTTATTATTTCGGCTTTAAATAGCTTAATTTTGATGATATGGACCCATAAACTTAGAAAATTTGCTTCTTTTATGTGATTTCAAGTCATAATCTCTTAAAACTATGTAAATATGAGATGACTTGAGAAGAATGAGTTCAAAAGTTAAGAAATAAAGAAAATAGGCATGTAAGAAGCCATTTTGGCTTTAAATGGCTTAATTTTGATGATATGGACCTATAAACTGAGAAAGTTGCTTATTTTATGTGATTTAAAATCTCTTATAATTTTGTAAATATGAGATAGTTTGAGAAAGAATGAGTTCAAAAGTTAAGAAATAAAGAAAATAGGCATGTAAGAAGCCATTTTGGCTTGAAATGGCTTCATTTTTATGATATGGACCTATAAACTTAGAAATTTACTTCTTTAATGTGATTTCAATTAATATACACTTATAACTATGTAAATATGAGATGGTTAGCGAAAGAATGAGTCCAAAAGTTAAGAAATAAAGAAAATAGGCATGTAAGAAGCCATTTTGGCTTGAAATGGCTTCATTTTTATGATATGGACCCATAAACTTAGAAATTTCTTCTTTTATGTGATTTCAAGTAATAATATCTTATAACTATGAAAATATGAGATGTTTTGAGAAAGAATGATTTTAAAAGTAAAGAAATAAAGAAAATAGGCATGTACGAAGCCATTTTGGCTTTAAATGGCTTTATTTTGATGATATGGACCCATAAACTTAGAAAATTGCTTCTTTTATGTGATTTCAATTCATATACAATTATAATGTGTAAATATGAGATGGTTTGAGAAATAATAAGTTCAAAAGTTAAGAAATAAAGAAAGTAGGCATGTAAGAAGCCATTTTGGCTTGAAATGGCTTAATTTTGATGATATGGACCTATAAACTTAGAAATTTACTTCTTTTATGTGATTTCAAGTCATAATCTATTATAATTATGAAAATATGAGATGGTTTGAGAAAGAATGAGTTCAAAACTTAAGAAATAAAGAAAATAGGCATGTATGAAGCCATTTTGGCTTTAAATGGCTTAATTTTGATGATATGGACCCATAAACTTGAAATTTTGCTTCTTTTATGTTATTTTAAGTCATCGATTATATTTTTATTTGCTTTACTTGTAAATTATATTGATGGTAAATTTTTTAAACTATATATTATTGTATAATGTCTTTCTTGTAGGAGAACTACCGGAAGAATGTTGAAGAAGCCACCACTCAAGGGATTAAAAAGATTCCTAATGACTTGTATTGGGAGAGTGTGGGTGGTCGCAACAAGAAGGGTCGGGTGAGGGGACTTTACAAAAGTGCAGAGCTGTACTATGGCAACCGGACGGGTCGAGTTTCTCGGTCTTCACAGCAGTACACACTATCCGTTGTTTCTCATATGTAAGATTAGATGGACCATAGGGTGGAGGCTTTTCATAGTGAAATCTGGAGTGAACTCCGGAGTGAAATTCGGAGTGAACTTAGGAGTGAAATGGAAGTTGAGATGAAAACCCGAATTCAAGCTGAGGTGGCCGAAATGGAGAGGAGAGCTGAGGAAAGGTGGAATGATTTCATGAGTCGATTCACAAACAACGACACATATTCCACCTTTTAGCCTCAACGTCGAGACCCTTGGGATGGTCCGGGTAGTGGAGGAGCAAGCCAGGTGTAGACATCTACTTTTGGCCTCCTGTCCCGACAGGAAGTGCAATGACGATAAATAAAACCATCTTTGTGTTGGATCGAAGTGAAGAATACTTATGGAGAATTGGTTAAGCCACAAAACACAAAAGAATAGCCCAAATTAAAGATAAAAGCCAAAACAAAGGTCCAATTAACTAAACCCGATCATAATTAGGCTTAATCCCGTGCTTAAAACCTAATAATGACGGATTTAGGAGCGCCTAAGTTAAATCTTAGTGCTACCGCATAAAAAGCCGCGCGCATCTCAAACTATCGCGCTGGGCTGCAGCGCGCAACTAATTCAGTTGCACGCGACACCCAGCGCAACCCCCAGAGTTGCGCTGCAGAAGATTCAGAATTATACGAAAAATATAAAATCGAATCTTACAATAAAGCCGGGCGCAAGACAATTAGTTGCGCTGCCCACAGCAGCGCAACCTAATCACTTGCGCTGGGATGCCGCGCGCAACTCATTCTGTTGCGCGCAACACCTACTGCGGCAGAATGCTCGTATGTAACCCTAAACCTAATCATTCCCTATAAATAAGAGCTTAAACCGAGGCTTAAACAGACAGAATATAAACTAAAACTCTGGCAAAATACTTGTGAACTTGTGCAACCTAGCCCCTCTTGTCCTAAACACTCACCCCTTTTGATATTTTGTTTCTACGGTGGAGGTTCCCCAATAAGAAGGAGTCCATAAGTATTCTAAACGGGGATCTAGCAAAGAGAAGTGGTAAATTCCCGAGCACTTAGTTAAGTCACATTTATTTTCTTGTTTAAAAGAACCTTTTAATTAATTAGTGTTGTTTGATCACCTTTAAAAAAATTAATTAATCAATTCCACATAGTATCTTGCGTTAAATAAAGATTAGAATTTAATTAAATAATTGTTGGTTGATCAATTAAGCCAAGGCGAATATTGTTTATTTTCTTGTCATTTTCACGAATTTGATTAAATAAAGAATAACGACATTACGATGTAATTCTTACGTGAATTGGTATGTGTAAATAAAATCGACTAACATAGTTTTAGGCATCGCGTTGCATATATTGTTTGGTGATGAAATTGTAAAAAAGGAAGAGCTAAAAAAGGAACGTTATTTTAGTACCCTCGCTCTCGAACTCATTTCTGGTTTATAGACCAATTTGGGCATGGGTAAACATATGATTCGTGCTAATTATTCTATGAACTCCACATGGAATAAAGGCATGAACGAGGTTTATGAGTTTTTCTAAAACTCATTGGCGACTCCCTACTTGTTTCTTACAAAAAAACATAAGGATAGAATCAATTCTAATTCAAGGTCCCCCAAACAGTTAGGAATTCAAATCCTACTACACCCTAACAAGTGTAAAGTCCTAGGCTTTAAAGGGCCATGGGCATTTAAGGAGAGGACCCCTTACGATGGGAACCCCCTCCTTACACCAGGGTACCCCGGCAATTGTATAGCTTAGCTTTGGTTTATGTAGTACGGACATGTAGCTAATTTGAATTTATGTAGCGTTTGATTATGTTCCAGCTTTTGTAGAATTACTATATATTATGTAGCTTTAGGATATGTTTAACTTAAGCATAGCTTTTGTGGTAATATATATATATTAATATTTCCGTAATTCGATTATAATTTTAATTTTCACAGGTATTAGGTGCAGGAATAATGGTTATTAATGCTGTTTTTTTCTTACAAAAAACAACCAGAATTTTTTAAAGTGAATAATATTTTGCGACAGAAAAACATTAATATAAAGTTTGTCGAAAATGATTTGCGACGAAAAAAGGAAGAAAAATCCGTTGCTGGAAGACTTAATAACGACGGAAAATTCTGTCGTAAATCAGAGAATTTGCGACGGAATTAAATTCCGTCGTTGGTGAGTCTGCAGCGATGGATTTTTTTCGTCATAAAACAGCGAAGGATCATACTAGAAAGTCACATTTTGTTACGACGGAAAAGTTTCCGTCGGAAAGTCCGTCGTAAAACACCTTTGCGACGGAATTTTCCCCGGAAATTCCACTTTTTCCTACGAAAGGTTTTCCGACGGAACGTTGCGACGGAAATTTGCCTTTTAGCAAGGGAAACTTTCTGTCAAAAAGTGGCCTTTTTCTTGTAGTGTATATTTTAAGGTTGGGTTAGATGGGTTTTTCGGTGGCTCAAATGTTTCAAGGTCGGCTCAGGTGGATTTTTCGGCCGCTGGCCTGGGGTGCCGATGGTGGGGATAGGATTTGGAGAGGGGTTGGCGGCGGCAAGTGTTAAGGTTGCCTGTGATGGGGCTATGTAAGGGTTTAGCTTTTTTGTCTTTTTTAAAACCAATAAACGAATGACACGTGAACAAGGTGGACCCCACTAATGGATTTCATCCAAATATTTGTTAAGTGGTGGTGATATCCAAATTTCGGGTTCTTTTTTTTTTTTTGTGGTGTTATAATAAAAGTTTGAAATTTATTGATGTGATATATAATTCATTTTTTGTGAAATTTGTGGTGTTATTTTTTAAAATTTCCTATTTTTTTTTATCAATAATGTTGTTTTATAGTTAAATATTTTAAAATTTGACCCAAATATTTGCAATGGGATAAAAGTAAAGAGACGGTTGGAGCTTAATTTAGAGTTATGGAGTACCACATAAATTAATCTATGGGTAAAATTCATTCACCAACTTTGTCTAACTATATGAATTTTGAATTAATAGTATAGAATTCATCACAAACATATGTTAATCATAATATATGAAAAAAAAGAAAAAGATTCATAACATTAAAATCAGAATAACCCATAGCTTGAATTGAAGATTTAAAAAAACAAAAAAGAAATTACACATTAGTATATTTGCACTATTAACTACCAAAGTCTCTCCATCCATTTACTAATTCATTAAGAACATAATCTGAAACATTAGAAACGAGTTCAAAACACAAGATACAATGCTACTTTTTTTTTTTATACAATGCTACATTAGTTGTGCAGTTTAGCTGATACATTAACCTCAGCTTCATTGCTGCATAATTAAAGGCAAGCTACAATCTCGAACAAATTCACCAAAAGACATACGAAAAAAACCTCTGATTTTCGCAATTGTTTCAGAATGATCAGATGGGTGTTTGGGATTCTTTTCAATGGCTACTCGAAGTAGCAGAAAGGTAATACGCAGTAGAAAATAAGGCATGTATAAAACACAGAATGCTACCAATTGATAACATATGGTGATGAGTAATGCCGCATGAAGCTCTATCTTTGCGATTTGCTAGTGTCCCAATCACCAACAGAGACAATCCAATGACAAGTATAAGCCTGAATATGATTAAAATACCATATGTTACGTAATCAAAATTGTAACAATTTGAAAAATAACACTGTACTTCTGAACCTTTGTCTCATAATATGTTACCCACTTGAATGGGTATATATATGAATTAAACATATCATTACTCATAGGATAATGATATATATAGTCGTAGGGCTACATACTAAAATCGGAAAAATGTCAATGAAAATGTCACATTAATTACAGAGATTTGCATATGATTTTAAATTAAATTATTGTTTGCATAAATTAAGAGTTAAGACTACTATCTAATGTTCTTTTACATATTTATCCTCATTTGATTTCAAAATCCTTATAAATTTAAAATTGTCTCTTGAATATGTAAATACTAAGGGCATGTTCTCATTGACTAAACTCGGCTGAATTGAATTGAACTGAGCTGAACTGAACTGAATTGCACTAAATAGAACTGAACTGAGCTTAACTGAACTGAACTAAACTAAACTGAACTGAAATGAATATTTTATAAGAGAAGGAAATTAGGAGCTGAACTAAACTGAACTGAGCTGAGCTGAGCTGAGCTGAACTGAACTGAATTTCAACGTAAGAGAACAGACCTTAAAGATGTGTTTATTTCAATATTTAAAACTATTTTTGACTTTCTCCAATTTTTTTTTTTTTTTTTTTTGGTTTTACCTATTTAGAATTTAAACACTTTTTTAAGCTACCTCACTTGTTTTTTCATTCTCTCTCACTCTCTATCCTCTCCTTAATATATATGCCTAATTCAAACGCGTCAACTAAATAGAAATGGAAGAAGTATTAAGTATTAAAGAAACTCTCAATTGATATTAATATAAGAATTTTTTGACATTTGCTACCACTAAAAACACCTCTCTTCAGATTCGGTACCACTTTTTAAAAAAAAATTTCTTTGCTACCAGCCAAAACAAAGTTTGTTAAAAATCACTACCACTTGTCTTCAACCGTTAGTATTTCCGTTACCACCACCCAACCACCGTCCAACCACCACTCCTTCCCACCCACTGCTTAATTCACCGCCACTATTCAACATCAAACCCACCGCAACCACCACCCAACCACCAGCCCTTCCTCACCCACAAACCCAGCAGCTACCCAAGCCACCTCCACCGTCGCCTGGGAGCCCAATCCACTGTTCGCGAATCCGGCCACCTAGCCCCCGTGTCGGCGCCGGCGTCGCGACCCTCCTCTAAAAACGCCTTTCCAGCCCCGATCCCAACCTCGTTCCCAGCCCCGCCCCCCCCCCCTTGAAAACCCGATCCAAGCCCCTTCCTCTCAATACCCGATCCCACGGTCTGGGTTTAGTGGTTTCGGTGGGTAGTCGTGGTCTGGGTTCATGGGTATAGGGTTCGCGTGGGTATAAGGTTGTTGGTGGTGGTGGTCTGGGTTCGTGGGTATAGGGTTGTCGGTGGTGGTGGTCTGGGTTAGGGGGTTAGGGTGGTGTCGTGGTGGTGGTGAGATCTGGGTTCGTGGGTTTTGGGTATAGGGTTGTCGGTGGTGGTAGTCTAGGTGGTGGGTCCTGGGTGAGGTCGCCGGCGCCGACCGTTTCTTTTGGCGCCGGCTGCCAGCAGGTGGGAGGGGGAGGGGTGGGTGGCAGTTTAGGGGAGGGGGTGGCTGGGTTTTTTCTTTTTTTTTTTTAATATTTTTTTTAATAAATTTAACGGAAATCCTAACGGATTTCGTTAAGTGGTAGTTATTTTTAACAAAATCTGATTTTGGTGGTAGCAAAGTAAAATTTATTTTAAAATTGGTATCGAATCTGAAGAGAGGCGTTTTTAGTGGTAGCAAATGTCAAAAAATCCTTAATATATAAAGAGTACAAGAATTATACAATTGTCAATTGTGTGATGTCTTATTTAATTAATTCAATTAATAATCAATACTTTTTAATCGTTGCTCATCCAAAAAAAAAAAAAAAGTAGTTCAACTTAAGTTACCAACATTATAACTGGTACACAACCCCCATCACATTATCGCCTAGATGCAAACAGTAATAATTAAATATCATGCAACAAGTTTATGACATAGAGACCACCAGTAAAAATTTCTTTCTCAAAGGGTTAGTCATATACTGCGATTGTGCGAATTACGCATGGTAAATTAGGCTATTTTTAACCCTTTTTTCTTAATTTTCTATAGTTTTACAATTTAGTTATCTATAAATCTACACTAGTGTAGATATTCGTTCGTCTCTCTATAGTGGAGTGTCTCTCTATAATGGAGTCGTTAGTTTTTATTAGTTGATTGTTTGTTTTGTTTAGGGTTTTTCAGTGTGTTAGGATTTATGAAAAAGGTAATCATCTTCAACCCTATTATCAGTTCGTTGGTAAAGAGTTGTGCGGAATCGTAACGGTTGTCAAATCTTCTAAGGCGTTCAAGTGAATCATATGAAAATCATCCTTACGGGCTTACGGCTATAACAAACCGATTACGGTCTCTTCGAAAAGGTTACATATTCTACCGATGTGTACGAGCGATATATCACACTGCAAGATCTATTCAACGATTGTAGCATTGATGAATAAAACCCTTATTTGATTCAATTTTATGTATTTGTTGATTTAGATTTCATCTGTAAATGTCGTATGGTTTTTTATTAATGAATTGATTTGTTTCCAAAAAAAAATCCTCAACTGTTTGAAAATATTGACCTAGTGACTTGACTAGCTGACCTCAATCCAAAATTCCAAAGTTTAACCTAAATTAACCCTAAGTAAACCAAAAAGTAACCACCTATGGAAATCAACCCAGCCCAATCCAATCTAATCCAATGAACCCAATAACCAAATCCAATAATTTATTATTTTTTTTAGAACAAAATCCAATAATTCATTAATCCTAGTTTAAATGTTTAATGACCTTTTTTTTTTCTTTACCTTTTCATCTTCACGTGATTAGTTGTGTGTCCCAAATTCCCAATTATCATGGTCTCGTGTTCTTAAAATTTCCAATTGCTCATTTGCCTCGGGTTCCTAAATTTCTAAAGCTCATGGGACTCTGGGAGATGTTCCGCACAATTTAGATATCTAGACTCCAATATTTTATTTTGGGTCGGTCCTAGATATTGCCCCATTTTCTTGTTTAATACTCCTTCCGTTTTTTTTTTTTATTTGCATCACATTTCATTTAAGTTTTTTTTTTTTTTTTTTTTTTTTTTTTTTTTTTTTTTTTTTTTTTTAATTTACATTACTTCTATATATAATAACTTTAAACTATATTTTATTATTTCTCTTTTTTACTTTAAACTCCACTCAAATTAATTTATCATTTCTTTCTCATGGTTCCAGTACTCTCTCACACATACTTTCATTTTCATGTCCCCACATTACTTTTACCATAATAATTTATTCACCCACTCACAATAATATAATAAAAGGAACTATCTAGAAAGAATTGCTAAAAGATTTGATTGATATAAAAAAACGGAAGGATTTGTTTTGACATGAAATGGATATATCCATATATCGTTGACTTATTTTTATGAGATGAAAAAATATGGCAAAACCTATACCCAAAATTGGTTCACGTAGAAATGGACGTATTAATTTGCGTATTACTCTTCTAAAACTCCGTGCAATCCCAAGTGATGCAAATAAAAAAACGGAAGGAGTACTTTATTTATCTACTAGGTTAGTCTCGTGCGATGCACGGTGTGATATTTGTTTTGCTTATTTAGCTGTATGTAATACATATTTAAGAAAAACAATAATGAATCGTGTGCCTTCTTATTAGATAAAATTGAGCTATTACGAAAGATATGATGTTAAATATAGAGTATTATAATCATATAATGTTTTTTTTTAGGAAAATATAATGTACTATATGATTTGTAATTTAAATAAAATTTTAAACTTATTTATAAGATGTTACTCCGTAGCATTAATTCATTGTTCATTCTCCATTATTTTTTTTAAGAACTAATAAAGAATAATGGAAACACCAAAAACAATACTATAAATGTATAAAGTAGGGGGAGATAAAATGTTTCTAGAAAAATGAAATAGTCTAGCCTCTAACTTTTAATTTTAATCCATGGATAAATTTTGTAGTTAGTCAATTTTAACATAAAATATTTTAGGAAATGTGCAATTAATTTACTAATTCCAAACATTTTTTTTATCTTAAAAACAAATAATAATGTTACCCAAATTTTGGAGGGAAAATTTTGTATGAGAAGTTGACACTTGTAAATGATGATGTCAGCGGTTATTTCTTTAGTTATATTTATAGATTTTGAATCAGTTGACGTATTTTAACTTTTAAAATTATTTATTAACTCTTTTAATTACTTCTTCCGTCCTTAAATTTTATTGCTATTTCTAGCATATAATAGAGAGAAATAGAATGTAATTTAGAGAAGAAGAAAAAAACTTTTTGTAATCTATACCATGGAGTGTATATTAAAGTAACCGCCGGAGGGGACACTTGGCATGATTTTGTGCAAAATTTTCCCTCTAAAATGCCTTTTTTTTTTTGAAAAAAAATTCTATTTAAAAAAATTTAAATACATTAATAAATTCAAATTTAAAAAAAAATATTACATAAGTCATTTAATTTCACTTAACTCTATTTCAATTGATTATTATTATTATATCATACTTTGTAAATTCGTGCATTGCACGAGACAAAACTATATATATATATATATATATATATATATATATATATATATATATATATATATATATATATATATATATATATATATAAGAGTTATATTGTTAGATTTCTCACAAGTTTTATTTTCAATGTAGAGCCTTAATTTCATTTAGTTATTTATTTTTTCTTATTGTTGATTTCAAATATTTAAGATTAAAGTTTATATTGACAAAGGTGATGTTTGGTCAATAAATTTGGAACGAAGGATGTAACATGTTTTTGCCATCCATCGTTCTTGCATAAACTTGTGTCTAAGCTTTAATAAAGTACTCCCTCCATTCCTGAAAGTTCGACTCACTTTGTATTTGCGAGGTATCTAAAGAACATCTTTGACCATGAATATCTTTGCTTATGTATAAGTGAAAACTATAAGAAGTTGTTATTTAGATTTATAATAAGGGGAATCTAATACGATCCCATATATATGCTAATTTATTCATATTGTATAAGTCATTAAATATGGTCAAAATTATTTTATTTAGACTTCGTAAGCTAGTGAGTAGAACTTTCAGAAATGAAATTAGTATATTTAATTAGTATATTTATTAATGGGGCAAACAAATAGATATAAAAAGGAGGTTTTTATAAACAAGCTAGTTCAAGTTCTATAATACAGAGTACTATATTTGGCATGATGATGATAAGGGACTCTTCAGTCTTCACATTCTTTCCCAATCAAATATTAGTAATTTTACTTACTGTCTCACTAACAACCAAAAAAATATTTTGTTACCCTACTATTATCTAATCGATCTTAATATCCATACCCATTATCCAAGTCTAAATCAACAATTAAGGACAAATGGAGAACATTACAAAATAAAAGCAATAGATTTACCATGTTAAGAGGAAGCATCCAGTTGTTAATTGGCGATTGGCGTAAGATTTATGCTGATCTTCTCGAGAACAAAGACACATACAACCACCAAGTAAGCTTGATATAACGTGTGCTAGTATCAATAGCCCTGCTGCTGCTGCTCCTAACTTGAAGGCTTGTTCACTTGGACTCTTACACTCAAATATCCACATCTTCAAATGTTTCGCCTGCATACGAAACAATCATTTAAAAAGTTTCAAGAACAAATCTTGTCTGCATCATTTGTTAAAATAACTTGTGAAACCAACCAAAAAAAAAAAAAAAAAGCACCTTGTTTTGAGCAATTTCTGCCTCAAGGCCACAAAGTCCTGCTGCAATATCTAAAGCAATGACCAAAAGACATACAAAAAATCCTCCCATTTTCGACATCGTTTCGAAAAGAAGCAATGTGATAAGATGGGTGGTATACTGGTATTGTATTGTGGTTTTGGAAAGTGATAATATGATGAAAATTCCTAGAGTATGTAGTGTTAATGAACAAGCTAAGATAAACTATGTTGAAAAAGGTTGGCTTGTTCACACGGTTTGTAACATGAAACTTGAACCTTTTTTTTAAGTGTTTTGGAGTGATTCTTTAGTGTAAATGTGTATTTGGGATTCTTTATAAGTAACAGAAAAAAATAAATAAACAAAAAAAAAAAAAAGCAGGGTGTAAAACAGCTAAAGCGTCCGTGCTTGGAGCTATCTTTATTATATTCCATGGTCTAAAAGTGAGATTGATGGGGTCCTTTACATTTGGGTCCTTTTGACTTTATCATAACATGTCCCCTATAAGCATGGTACTCGTATCTTGCTAAGGGATAGATTTGTTTCTTCAAATGTGATGAATACTTGTATGTGCATCTCTCTTTTAAATACACGTATTAAGACATTAGATGATTGTAGATTGTATCAAAAAATTTTAAAAGGTGGTTTAGGTACAGCTCAGTACCACAAGCTACTGTGCCATTCTTGTTCAAACTCAATCTAGTTTATTTTAGCGTGTCATGTTAGGTCGTGTCATGATTTACAAAATAAACATGAATGGCCAAGTCCAAACCATGCCTCAACATAGTGTTAAGTTGTGTTGGGCCTACACTTCTTTTTCGATCAGGTCGACATGTGCTTCTTTACTTACATGCATAATGGATTTCACATCTAAAGAAGAATTACAGTGCAAAGTGTATCGAATCAAGTATCAAATAATGGAGTATATAAATTTCAAAACATGTTAATCTACCATATTATATTGTCATGTTTTTCAATTTTTTTTTTATTTTTTTATTTTTTTGCTGTGTTGCTGTAAGGATACATTTAGGCCTAACCTAAGCCCAGCCTGATCCATGTAAGGCCACCCAAAATTTCCTTTCATCCAAAATGAAAAATGCTGAAAAGACATACTTCCTCCGTTATTTATTACTTAACCCACTTTGACTTTTACAATATTCACCACCCCTCCTTTGACCGTCTTTTGTGAATAATATGTAAGGAAATATATATTCATGTAGGATCTTCTCAATAAGTACTATCATAATATATAACTTTTATATTTTTTACTTATAGAGAATTGAACTTATTGATCGTTTAAGTTTTGCATTGCCAAGCGTGATAAAAGAAATAGGTCAAGTAAAAAAGAATGGAGGAATTACATAGTACTTGTATGAAAGAATAACCTTAGCTCCATTATGATATACACATCCCCAATAAATAAAAATAAACATAAAGTATACGAAGTATTTCCCCTTTTATAAAAGGAAAAATTGTCAAAAATAATACAAAATTTGAGCAATCCGCCAAAAACAAGTCAAACTATAAATTATTTTCTAATAATACAAACTTTGAGGGGTATCCGCTTTAAACAATTTAAAACTGATTAGTTATCTCATGAATTGGTTATGTGGAACACGTGACATTGTATTATTTTTTAAAACTACTCAACAACTTTATAAGATAAATAAAAAAATTAATTGGTTAAATAAGTTGTAGGTAAAATATCTTATTTAAAGCGGATATCCCTCAAAGTTTGTATTATTTAGAAATAATTAAAAGATTGACTTGTTTTTAGCGGACCGCTCAAAGTTTGTATTATTTTTGACAATTTTTCCTTTATATAATAACTAGAGGTAAGCCAATTCTTTTTTTTTTTTTTTTTTTTTTTTTTTTTTTTTTTTTTGACATCTGCATAACCTAAACAAATTACAAACTAAAATAAAAGCTAATTAAACTAGTAAGACTATTGTTGGCTAGGATGTGTGCCTGTTGTATCTTGTCTCTGTCCACTTTAAGGATATTGCAACACTAAAAACTCAATCCTATTTTTTTAATGTCCCGTATAGTCTAGAAACGCTTATATCTTCTATTTCCTTCTTTCGTAATAGATTGATCAAATTCATCGAGTTCGAATAAAGAAGTATTTTAGAGAATCCCATGGTAGTACACCATTTTAGAGCTTTAAGGCATGATTGTGCCTCCGAACGTAAAGCTGAGGTTGCTAAACCGAAACTTGCTCCCGCATCCAAGAAGTCCTCCTCATTAAGTTTCATAGCCCATCCAAACCCACTTCTTCCATTATTTTTTTCAAAAGAGTCATCAATCTGTAGTGTACAATCCGGCTGACACCTAATTGGACCAAAAAAATAACCTTCCAGTCCAATGTGTACTTGGCTGAATCCCGGGGGTTCATGTATTTCTGGTTCTAGAATATCCAGCATACCTACGGTTGGTAGATATGGTTTGTTGAAATCATGAAGAGTTTGCAAAGCCTGTTCAATGTTCCCTGTCAGAGTGGTATAACCACCACTATCTCCACTGAAAAGCCGCTGGTTTCTAGTGACCCATATGGCCCATAAAGTTGCAATAAAGGTAGATATTACATCACTATGGACACCATCCCGACTATAAAGAAGCAGGATATATGTTTAAATCCATTCCTGAAGAGTACCGAAAAAGGATTCATTAGTTGTATAGCCATATGTTATGTGGACATTATTCCACGTAAATTTTGCCAAATCACAAAATCTAAAGATGTGTTTTGTGTTCTCAACATCCAGCCCGCAAAAATCGCACAGTATAGTCATTTGCATACCTTGTTGTGTAAGTTTTTCTTTCGTGGGGATGGCGTCATAGAAAAGTTTCCACAAGAACATACTCCATTTGGGCGGAATGCATAATCTCCAGATGATTTTGAAGAAATCCTCATTTTCCTTACTATGATCCGGATCCTGAAAGTTAGTCTTTTGTGATAAGAAGGCATACCTCGTTTTCACCGTGAACTTAAGCAGCAATATTATCACCATTCCCAATCTTCCAAGCAAAGCCAGGGAGGAAGCGTGCAACAACTTGCTGGAAACCCTTGCGAGCATATGAAACGGTGGCAAGAACTTAATATCTAGGAATACCATGGAAAAGAGCACATTTAACCTTTGCGTCGAAGATCTTAGCTGCTAAAAGCTGAGGATTTTTGTGCATTCTAAGTACACTTTTGAATAAATAGGGTATCATTCACCATACTAGCTGCTCTAATCCCTAAACCACCTATTCCTTTTGGTGACTGAATGATTTGTCGCTTCGTCCAATGGATACCCTTTTCCCCACTCGTAGCCCACCAGAACCTAGTTATGATTGAATCTAACTTGTTCGTTGTTGCAAGAGGCAATTTTAGCGATTTCATAACATGCGAAGTAATTCCCATTAAAATCGAATTGATCAGAACCAATTTTGCAGACTGTGACAACCTATAAGAGGACATGCAAGGATTTTTGTTTTTACCTTCTCCACCAAGAAATTGAAGTGGTCCGATTATTTCCCCAGTAAGTCAATAGGGTTCCCTAAATATGTTCCCATAACCTGGACACTAGGGATTTTTAAAATGTCTTTATATTCTGTAACCAGATTTTGAGGGACAAAGGGACTAAATTTAATGTACGATTTCTATAAGTTTATTCTTTGTCCCGAAATCGTCCCAAATCTTGTCAGAATATCTCGAATGTGTGCACAAGAAGAATGATCAATTTTGAAGAAAAACATTGCATCATCCGCAAAAAATAAATGAGATATTTTAGGGGCTCTTCTAGAAATTTTAATACCGCTAAATATTTTTATGTCCTCTGCTAAAAGAAGCATCCTTGACAAAACATCCATACAACAAAGGAATAAATATGGAGAAAGAGGATCACCTTGGCGCAGGCCACACTGCGGTTTAAAAGTTTCGGTTGTTTTCCCGTTTACAATGGCCTTGAAAGTGACGATTTAAACACACTGAGAAATCCATTGTATCCAACGCGAGGAGAAACCATAAGATTTGAGGATTTTAAATAAAAAAATCCAATCTACACGATCATAAGCTTTTGACATATCAACCTTGACCGCCGCAAGGTGAGTAGAGTGCTTTTTCATATTAATGAAATGAATAAGCTCCTGAGATAAGTACACATTATCCTCCATATGTCGTCTTGAAATAAACGCATGTTGATTATCTGTGATTAAAAATGGCAAAGCTTGTTTCATGCGTTTCACCAAACACTTAGCAATAAACTTGTAAATCGTATTACAAAGGCTAATTGGCCGGAACTGCGTGACCATCTCAGGGAAATCAACCTTCGATAGTAGAACCAAAAGTGAAGCATTTAGCTATGTCAACAGAAACCCTGTAACAAAAAAATTTTGCACTTTTAATTACCGTGTCACCTACAAACTCCCAGTGAATTTTAAAAAATTCTGCTATGTATAGCTATCCGGTCCCGGAGACTTTGAGGAGTGAATATCGAACATTGCTTGTTTAATTTCATTTGGTGTGAAAGGTTCTTCTAGATCCTCCAATATATTTTGTGGGATATTAGGAAAATGAATTTGGGTCTATGTTCTCCTCATGAGTTGGGTCGGGCCGCTCAGGCTGGTAGGCATTCTTAAAATTATTGTAAAATAATTCTGCAATTTTTTCTTGCCCTTCCACCCATTCTCCATTGTCAGTACATAAGGTTAAAATTTCTTTCCTCTTCTTTTTTTTGTTTAACCTTGTTGAATAATCGTTTAGTAGGAGCCTCCCCTTCTTTCAACCATCTTTCTTTGAGACAATGTTGCCAATATCCGTTTTGTAACTGGCAATCTGGTATAATAGAATTAAGATGTTGAATGAACTGATTACCACCATTCAAGAAAGAGATGTGCGCACTAGCACCAAGAAGCTCCTTGGTCACACCATTCCAGCTTATCCCTAACATTCTTCAATGATCCAGACACCATTTTTGAAGATGATGTCGTACAACACGTAATTTCCTAGCAAGAACAAAAGAAATTGAGCCCGGGATAAATTTACCCCATTCCATAATAATGAAATGTGTGATTTCCGGGAAACGTAATCACCAAACCTCTACTTGGTAAGGTCGAGGTAAGCCAATTCAATGAATGGTTTTAGTTATTATGATGTAAGAATTGCTATGATTTTTAAAAATCACAATAGTTAAATACGTTCAGAATGATTTTTATTGTGGATCTTGAAAAATAATTTTTTTTTCTTTAAATATTTGATAAATTTTACTCCCTCCGTTTCAATTTGTTAGTCTCATATACTATTTTGGACGTTTCAGATATATCTACCCATATTGAATGTATTCCACTATTAATTTAGTTTATATTTCCTATTTTATACATATTAAATTTTGATTGGTTAAGTTAATTGATTTTAAATTTATCACATGACTCTAAGTACAAAAATTATTCCCTTGAATTATGCGATTATGATTGACGATTTTCTAAAAAAAGTCAAAGTAATTT